AGAAACGGAGTTGCGGCAATAACTGTTATGATCACAGGATGCTCCTCCCCTAGGGATGGGAAAGACGTGTGAAAGAGATTGAGCGAGAATAAAATAGAGGAGAAGGGGGAAAGCTCTGGTGCACAAGTCTTAGGAAAGATTGGTGGAATCTCATCTCAGCTTGGTGGCTTAGATGTATTCAGCGAACTCAGTGCCAGGTGAACATCTTTGGTTGTGATTTGAGAACGGAATGTGGATTCATTGTGAGTAGTGAATAAGGGTAGAGTTGCTGATGCATATTTGGTAGAATTAGAAGCAGTAAGGGAGGCAAAGAATTCAGCTTTCTGGATGAGATCAGAACCAGGGGTTTAGGGGTAAATGCCAACTTTGTATGACCTTTTTTTCTCACCGATAGCGCGGGAACAAGGAGTCCTAAACCACATACGGGAATTCTGCTCCCAGGGATGAGAAAAGTGGGGAGTAAACATGTGCATGTCTTGGCAAATAGTTTCCACGATANTATTCACAGCTGAAGGATAGGGAAAAATAATATTAGTGTCAGGGACAAAAAGCCAAGAATTCACCGAAGCCATACCAGTTAGTGGACTTGCGGCACCAGAATGTGCAGCGGAGAGTCAGGGTTGAAACGACCGATGAAGTATGATAAAAGAAACAGTCTGATGACCCAAGAGAGAAAAATGTAAAAATATCCGAGAAGAGAAAGGGAATGAAAGCTATTAACAACGCAACAGTGTTAGTGGGCTCCTCTATTCGATCGAGGACACAGGTTGAGAAGATGACTACTTGTTTTGGGCTGTTTGCAATGGCTGACACTTACAAATTGTGGCCTTTGAGTACTGTTGTTGTTGTTGGTGGTGATGGTGGTGTCATGACACAAGAGAACCAGACACTGTGAACATTGAAATCACCTTGGATGATGATCCGGTTGTTAGAGTCTGATTGTGTAATATTTTCAATGTGAACTTCACTTCTTCACTCTGCGCCAAATTCTGGAGCACTGGCATTCTTTTCGTACACCCACCATCTCTGTCTTCCTAGATCTGAAAGCGGCTTTCGACTCAGTCGACCGCTCTAAACTCTGGCGCTGCCTTTTTCTGAAAGGTGTGCCCGAGAAGTTAATTTCAACATTACGATCGCTTTATACTAATAGCCGAAGTCGAGTCCGGGCTTACGGCACTTTTTCTCCCGAGTTCACCACGGAAAGTGGTTTTCGTTAGGGTTGCCCTATTTCTCCTTTTCTATTTAACTTTGTTATAGATCTGACTATGGAAACAGCCCTATCCTCATGCGAGGATAGTGGCATCGATTTACTCCCAGGTGGCGGGCTGTCTGACCTGGAGTACGCAGACGACATTGCGCTACTAAGTGAAGATCCAAGTAAGTTGCAAGCATTTCTGGATAACTTACATGCTAGTGTAGCTATATTCCGTGTGCGTTTTGCACCTTCAAAGTGTAAAATGTTACTACAAGACTGGGTTGGTCCAGCACCCAGCCTCACTCTCATTGGGGAAAT